GAATTGTCGCCGATATCGAGACACTCATCTGCACATTCATCAACACAAAAGTTTGGCACAATATCTATATGTTATCAAAAGTAATCTTTACCGGATAAACAAGATAATGATTAACCTAAAACATGTTTGTTGAAGCACATAAAAGCGGGAAGAATCGTTGAGTTTTTCATTCAACTCGAACCAATTGAACAGGTAAGTACAACTGAATTGTCCGCTATTACATACTTGTAGTACTTTTGCTTATAGCTAAAATGTGCAGAGTTGGTATTGTTATGTAGCTACTGTTTTCAAATTTTAAGCACAAAACATAATGAATTAATTGAATATGATATAAAATGTATTTATTTATCCCAGACTTCACCATGCGTGTACTCATCATATCTCTACTCGTTGCCGTAGCCAGTGCTGCTTCACTGGCGCCTATTTACAAGGCCCGGGATCCGGTTGAGAATAGTTACTTAGTGAAAATTAAGGTAAGGATTTATTGATCAAAAATAAAATGTTCTATGATAGACATACATTAATGCTACTCATCAATTACATATTTTCGCTAACTCGTACTTTTGTCATTTGTGCAGGATGACCAAAATATTGACCAGTTTGTAAAGAAACTACCGGCACTCCGAATGTCAGTGACCAAACGTTACAAAACTTTCAACGGTATTGCCATCACTGCCCTACCCGAATATATCAGCATGGTAAGTTATTATGAGCCTAACTATTTTATATGTAATACAATTCTATGCAATACAAAACAATTCAATGCAAATTAATGTTTCATTTCGAAGCTCTACGTCCATGTACCAACATATAAATCTCTATGTGCCATAGTTTAGCAATGGTTGTATTATCATTCTATAGCTTCAACATATGCCCGAAGTAGAATACATTGAACAAGATGGTATCTACAAAACATCGGTTGAGTGGGGTTGCGATCGTATTGATCAGAGGAATCTTCCCCTGGATGGCGCAATGAATATTTATGGTCAGTATTTCTCACGCCTTTAGAATTATTCATATCTATTGTGACAAACAAATATTGTAAGGCAAAACGCGTGTGTGTTAGATTTTGTCATCAGGTCATTATTTATTTTCAGGTGATGGTAGCGGTGCTCATGTGTACATCATCGACACTGGTCTGCGTCACACCCATCAGGAATATCAGGGACGCGCAAGCTACTTCTGGGATTTTGATGCGCCTAATAGGGTATGTCCTAGTGGATGTGACATATTTAACGATACAAAATTAGATGAATGGTGAAGTTAACTATTAAGAAATCACCAACAATGACACTGCTTCAACCCCTTGAATTTCAATTAATATAATACCTCAAAGGGTTTTCGAATGACCAACCCTTATCTGTTTGCATTACATTTTAGGGTGACGATTGCAATGGCCACGGTACTCATTGTGGAGGTACTGCTGCTGGGATTTTGGTTGGTGTCGCTACGTCTGCTAGTCTTTACAGCGTACGTGTTTTGAATTGTATTGGAGCCGGAACAACCGCTAACATCGTAGCTGGTACGTTGAAATCATTTACTATTTTATTTTGGGTGATTTCTCGGATCATATTTCTATTCAGTTTGTCATGAAAGCAAAAACGTTACCCATGAGAGCTGAATTTATATTATTCAATTTGAGACTCAAGTGCCTGTTTCTTCCGACTAACAATCAAACGTTGCAAATTACTGATTCAACTTAAAATTGATTTGAGGTCAACATCAACCCTTGCATAGCGGAATCAATAATACTGCCAGCCAGATATATAGTATAATATAAGGTAGACGAAAGGCATATAAACATTGCGTTCACTCGAAATTATCACTTCATGTTAAGCAGACTCAATCATTTTATGTCATAGGATGTGATGCCGTTACGGATGGAGGCACTCAGCCTGGCGTTGCTTCAATGTCACTTGGCGGCGGTGCAAGTCTTGCCATGGACGCAGCTGTAGAGCGAATGATAGCTGCTGGATACACTGTATCAATAGCTGCCGGAAACGACGATGCAAATGCATGCAATACCTCACCAGCTAGAGTGGAAGCTGTAAGTATCTTGTGCTCAGTATTTTTAGTATTTGGATAATTTCGTCATTATTTGTATTACTTATTGCATTATTTTCAATACAGGCTTTGACAGTTGGTGCCACTGATAGCAATGACCAACGTGCACCATATTCTAACTTTGGTAGTTGTGTCGATATCTTTGCACCTGGAAGTGATGTTAGAAGTTCCTACAATACCAATGACAGTGCGTACGCAGTTCTCAGCGGAACTTCAATGGCATGCCCACACGTAACAGGTAAGTGTATCTACACACCATATCATCTAACTATATAAGCATCCACGTTCATTGATTTTGTTTAAGTATTCATGGCTAGGACAGATCTCAAATGTCAATTTAAATCATTTTTGTAAAACTCTTAGGTGTTGCTGCTGTTCACTTGGGTGCTGGTACTTGTAGCAATAATGCTGCATGCAAAAACAAAATACTCGCAGACGCAACTACGGGAGTGGTCAGTAATCCAGGAATTGGATCCCCTAATCTCCTGTTGTATTGTGCTTAAAGGAATTGCGTTTAACGGGTAAGCGATTGCAGTTCACAGTGGAAAAATAAAATATATAACAAGTCGAATGAAGGGTGATTGTGATTTCATGCGAATGTAGATGCAAAAATTTAATATACTAAACACTAACCTGTAG